GGGAGGGGAGGCGAGTTTATTGTTGGAATGTGACACTAATATCAACTCTATGGCTTATTTATCTATCACAATTCAACTAATATGACATAATAAACAATATTAATAACATAGAAACATGGAATATACTCTATAATGAATAAAATAAGTCATAATGTATGTCATGACTGGTGTTGTGTTGTTGTTAGGTGTATAAGGGTCACTGAGAGCATAAGTCGTCCATAATGGTGGTGAAGGCTGCAGCCGAGGCGTCGGTGTTTTCTGTAGCCCTATGTAAATCCAGCAATATTGGAGGAGTTAGTAGAATTGCTGAATCACTGAAGAAAGCACCCTCTACCACCATCACTACCACCTTCTAGCACTATCACAACTGCTACCACCCTCTTCCACCATCACTACCACCCTCTACCACCACCACTTTCGTATTTATCTGCAAACTTTTTCTTGAATTGTATCGTGTTTCTAATATTCTTTACCAAAGGGCTGGCACTAGAAGCTTTCTTTGGAGCCATGGTGGATTTTTAGCAGTTGCAAGCACTAAAACGAAAGGAATATTATGAAATGTATCGTATAAACTTGTGGGATTGTCCTCACTCACTGATAAACAATGGCACACTGGCTGAGAATGGAGTGTGGGGCTGCTCGAGGTGTGCGTACGTATCTGGGACGAATGACTATTTGCGAGTCAAACGATTTGCGAGTCAATGTTTTGACAAAAAAAATTATGATTTTCGAAAATTACGACTTCCGATGCTTACAAAAAAGAGGGTTCACTGTAGTGACTTTGAGGTGTGTTCTAGGATAGGTTTTATTATTTTATTGGCAATTTCTTGGTATCATTTAATAAAATGGTAGTCATACTACTGAAATAGAGATGATTTTGGTTGGCTTCAGGACTGGAAGTAGCTTGAAATTGAGCTCAAAGTATCAGAAATGTTTGATTTTTGCTGATGTTTCTGAGGATAGGTAAGGCCTACCCACACCCCCTGGTCTGTTCAATTATTGGGGCATTGTTAACCATAACTAATCATTCCTGGTTATACTTTATTATACTATAAATGGAGTAAGTCTTCTAATTTTTGTGTTATTATGAATTTAAAATGGAAGGTAAGTGTAATATAGGAGAGGCCTGGGGACATGATTAATGAACAGAGGAAATGTTGGTTTAGTGCCAGGAATGTCTTCACTGTTTGTTTTACACTCTTTTTAAATTGCTATATTTTTTAATTTTGTGTAAAATTAGCCAAATTATCAACTTCTGTGCACTTTTTAAGAGTAGTTTCTTGTACTTATTTAATAGAATGGAAGGTATACCAGTGAAATAGCTAAGAATTTGGTCAAATGGAGCAATGGAATTGACTTTAAATAGGACTTGGCAAAAATGCCAGTGTGTACATTTTGCCCAGACCCCTAACTTTGCAGCTGTGTAATTCTATAAATTTTCCATCAGATTTTGTTCCTTTCATGTCATTACGTATGGAAAAAGATTATCTGTCATTTCAGAAGAAAAAATATTAAAAAGTGGGAGCAATATTAACTTAGAGGGTCTGAATGGCAAAAGGGTTAAAAGTGCTCAGTTTCCCATTCAACCCTTTCACATTCTAGACCCCCAAAATTAATATTACTTTCAGTGTCCACCTTTTTTAAAACAAAAATATTTCTTCTGAATTGTTAATGAATCTTTTTCTGAAGGTAATGACACCAAAAGTATGAAATTTGATGGAAAACTTATGAAATCATGCAGGCACAGACTTATTAGTTCAGTGCAAATTGATTTGATTTTCCCCAATTTGAGTCCTATTGTAACCCTTTTGGTGTTGGTGCCATAATGGTGCCACAATAATGTATTATCACTGATTTCATCATTGCTTAGTTAATTTTAAGCCAGCCCGAAATGCTATGCATAGTATAAGTGGCTTTGGCATGCTGCTCTTATCTGTATTTTTTTGTACCTCTATATGTATGCTCAAATTGTAAATAAATAAATAAAATAAATAAATAAATAATATTACGGGTTTAAAGTCAGTGTTGGTCCTGTAATACTATGCCAAAATTCTAGTGGCTTCGAATATTGCAGGAGAAGGCTGGTAGGCCTACATATGAGAGAATGAGTCTGCGTGGTCAGTGTGTGCAGTATAAAAAAATCCTGTAGCAAGCAGTGCATAATGAGAAAAAACCTGCGACCGTGTTTTGGGTTTGAAACAGCAAATTTGCAGTGTACAGAGGAAAATTGACTTGTGAGTGTCCCAACGTACGAGTTTTTTGAGATACGAGCTGTCCCTGGGTCAATTTTTTGCTCTTGAGTTATGAGCCGGCTCTCCCTGCTTCCCCATCAATGCAAAACCTGGACATCTCGCTTGTTTATCTATGATTTCATGCTTTAATTCCATGGAAATTATGCTCTTTTTCTTCCCAGCATTGTTCTTGGGACCCATGCTTAGAAAAATGAAATTTGGCCAAATGACTGTCAAAAATGTAAGCAAAGCATGAGAGAACTACTCCCACAGTGAGGTAAACAGTGCACCGAGTTGACAGCATTCGTTATTATTATAATAATAATTATTATTATTATTAACCCTTTGAGGGTTTTCGTCGTACTAGTACGTCTTACGCGTAGGGGTTTTTGACGTACTAGTACTCATAAATTCTAGCGGCCTCAAATCTAGTGGGAGAAAGCTGGTAGGCCTTCATATGAAAGAATGGGTCTATGTGGTCAGTGTGCACAGTCTAAAAAAAATCCTGCAGCACACAGTGCATAATGAGAAAAAAAAAACTTTGACCATTTTTTTTTAATAAATCAGCGACTTTGCAGTGTATTTTCGTATGGTATTTATTGTTGTATTCTAGTTTTCTTGGTCTCATTTTATATAATGGAAGACATATTACAGAAATTGAGATGATTTTGACTGGTTTTACAAAGAAAGGTGCCTTGAAATTGAGCTCAAAGTAGCAGAAATGTTCGATTTTGACCAAACTTCAAAAGTAAACAAATCGTGCCAAGCGTGCAATACACATCAACTGGTGAGTCTAATATTCTTTCACAAGTGCACCAATAATATTTATACCATTTTTTACACTAATGCAGTAGTCTGCATAACAGTAAATCTTATATTTTTTGTGAAAATAAAAATTCAAAGTGGAAAGCAAAAGAATATAAGAGAGGCCTTGAGACATGTCTAATGACAAGAGGAAATGTCATTTTAGTGCCAGGAATGTCTTTCTTGTTTATTCTGGACCCTATTCGGAAATTGGCATCTTTTGAAATTTGTGTGAAATTGGCAAAATTGCTAAATTCTGACCACTGTACTGGATAGTTGAATTTCATAAATGAGTGGTTTCTTGCACCCATTCGATGGAAAAAATGGAGTTCTAGCGAAATATTCATGTTTTTTGTCGACTAGTACAGTGAAATTGGCCGAAAATGGGGCTCAAAGTGGGCAAAATCGCTGATGCGTAAACATCGCCAAGACCGCTAACTTTGAGAGAGCATAATTCCGTAAGTTTTCTATCAAATTTCAAACTTTTGGTGTCTTTATGATCGGGAAAAGATTCTCTATCTTTTCATAAGAGAAATAATTTTTTTTTTTTTTAAATTTGGCCGACCCTTAGAACGAGTTTCGGAGAGGGCCTGTCGACCCTCAAAGGGTTAATTTAGGTAACTAGAGCACAGATCCAATTCCCTAGATCAAGAGCCCCTCACCCCTTGATGCTGGTGAGGGGCTCTTGATCTTGGGAATTGGATCTGTGCTCCATTTACCTAAATTAATTACGTATAATAATAATAATAATATTATTATTATTATTATTATTATAATGATAGAGCTTCAGTTCCCTAAATTAATAATAATAATAATAATATAATTATTGTTATAATAATGATAGAGCTTCAGTTCCCAAAATTAATAATAATAATAATACATAATACGTATGTAATAATTATTCAGAATGCTGCCACTAGTTGGCACAGCTGATGCCAAAACATCCGGTAAGCAGTACACGTTTGCATCGCTGTAGGAGCAGTTCTCTCGTGCTTGCTTGCATATTTTTTTACAGTCATTTGGCCAAATTTCTTTTTTCTAACCATGAGTCCTAAGAAAATAAATGCAAAGGGCAGTACTGAGAAGAAAAAGACAATGATTTCCATGGACTTAGCCAGGCAATACCAACTTAGCACATCTACGATATGTAGATACTAAAGCTGTATCAGTTATGTTCAGTGATTAAACAAAACAATGTTGTTGTAGGAGGATTACAGGGCCACTGACATCATACGCCACACCCTCAACCTCCCCCACCTTCAAAATCCCCCACCGTCAACCTCCCCCACCATCTCTGCTCCATGTGTGTAAGTACATATACACTTTATATAAACAATTTAACATTTGTAGATGAATATTTCAGATAAGTGACAAGTTGATAAATTAGACACATGTGCAACACTTGGGTATCTTTAATGAGGAAATGTTTTGCCACACAGTGGCTTCATCAGTCCATACAAAGGAGAATGGTGAAGAACAAGAGGAGTTTGAGGTAATCAGTCCCTCAACCTTGAGTCGATGTGGTCAGTCCATCAGTCTTTTCAAGATTGATGGACACCAATGGAAATGAATTCTGCTTCAGTGCTTAACAGAAATCCATGCCTCCACTGAAAATTATTTTCACTCCCATGAGCCTTAATGGAAATGAGTACACTTCTGTTGGAAATGAAAATCTAAATTTAAATCCCATAATATTGAAAACACGTGTCACGATTGTGCGACTTAAGGTTTTCTACTATATTTACTTTTACGTTTATGTGAGTTGTTTTAATTTTTTGGGTTAGTTTTTATTTAATAAATAAAAAACTGCTGCTGCCTTTGCTGCCACCACTGCTGCTGGTACTACTATTACTACTACTGATCTTATAGGTTGAAGCTTTCTCTAAATGCCACACTTTCTTTCCTCTCTCTCTCTCTGATCATTTTTAGTAGCCAACTAATAAATTTTTTTTTTAATTTTTTCAGACTGCCCCAATCCTGCCTCACACATTAAACATGGGTCAAGTGATGATGGTGCCACCTGGTGCATATACCTACCCAGGTTACACATCTGTTCCTGTCTACACACTTCCACCCACTCATCACCTGCCTGCGTCCACACCACAGCCAGCTGTCATATCTGAGCAAGATCTCAAACAGGTAAGACTGCTTGAAGGTTCTTAATGTAATGTAATGTTACCAAATATTTTTTCAACACAGATTTATGAGGCACAGTTAGTTACTTAAATTTCACCATGCCTTTTGTCTCATTTGGTAAGACCACAATATATTCAGCTTAAAATATTCATTAACCCTTTTACTGTTGGTGCCGCAGTACTACGGCTTACGAGCCAGTGTTGGTGCCGTAGTACTATGCCAAAATTCTAGCGGCTTCAAATCTAGCTGGAGAAAGCTGGTAGGCCAACGTGAGAGAATGGGTCTGCGTGGTCAGTGTGTGCAGTATAAAAAATCAGGGAGCCAGTGGTGCATTGTGGGAATGCCATTTCAGTAGTCCTTGTTCAGCATGACTAGTGGTAAGAAATATCTGCCTCCTTGGCGAATTTGGGCCTCTTCTCTTCCCAAGTGATAGTTCTAACACAGATGGAAGTGTCAGTCAAGATGAATTTTATGGTTTTGAGAAGTTTGTGACCAAAACCAATGCCCAGGATACCAGATACAGATAGTGAAAAGGGAAGACAGTGTGGGTGGTGGGGAAGGCAGCTTGGGTGTTGGGGAAGGCAGCTTGGATGGTAGGGAAGACATCATGGATGGTGGGGAAGATGGTGTGGGTGGTTGGGAAGATAGTTTGTAAGTTTATTCAGGTACAGTGGTACTCCGAGCTTTGAACTTATTTCATTCCAGAATGCTGTTCGAGTGCCAATACCAAACGAATTTGTTCCCATAAGGAATAATGTAAATTAGATTAGTCTGTTTCAGACCCCCAAAAATACACTTACAAACAAACTTACACAAATACACTTAAACAATTGTTCGAGTTGGGAGTAGTTCGAAACTCGGGGTACCACTAAATTTCCTCATAGATTATCGTACATAGAAGCATGTGTAGAGAACCTAGGATAACCCAAAAATGTCAGTGACTTATTTCCAGCATGAGTGGTGGGAAAGGCAGTGTGGGTGTGGGGAAGGCAGCATGGGTATGGGGAAGGCAGCATGACTGTGGGGAAGACAGCATGAGTGGTGGGGAAGGCAGAGTGGATGGTCGGGGTGATGGAGTGGGTGGGGAAGGCAGCATGGATGATGGGGATGATAGTATGGGTGGGGAAGACAGCATGGGTGGTTAGGAAGACAGCATGTAAGTAAGTTTATTCAGGTATACATGAATACAGTTACATAGATTATCATACGTAGCAGCATGTGTAGAGAACCTAGGATAACCTAAAAAAGTCAGAGTGACTTATTTCCAGCATGGGTAGTAGAGAAGACAATGTGGGTGGGGAAGGCAGCGTGGGTTTGTGTAAACAAATTTTGTAAACAGTATAATGATAATGTTTGTGCAGTTATTGTGTTGCATACAATGAGTGAGTATAAATACAGTGGACCCCGGTATTCAATAAATCCGGTATTCGATGCATTATATCGCAAAAAATTTTCCTCGGTATTCGATTGAAAACCCGGTATTCGATACGATTCGTACGAGACCTGTCCACATGTGGCCTGAACTGCCCCTTGTGTGCCAGTGTTTACAAGCCAGCCAGTGTGCGCGCATCTAGGGATACATTCGGTACATTCCATATTATCACTGTGTTTGGTGCTTGTTTCTGCAAAATAAGTCACCATGGGCCCCAAGAAAGCTTCTAGTGCCAACCCTGTGGTAAAAAGGGTGAGAATTAATATGGAAATTAAGAAAGATTTTGAAGGGTTTGGGGCTAACCCTGAGAAGCCTATACCAGTTGTGGAATACATTGTGCCTACTTCAAAAATTAAGGAAATGTGTGCACAGTGGGTTGAAGTGCAAACCTTTATGGATGAAAATCACCCTAACACAGCTATTACAATGACAATGTTGTGGCCCATTTTAGACAAATCGTAAAGGAACGGGAGGTACAGAGCTCTATGGACAGATTTGTTGTGCGACAGAGGTCCAGTGACTCTCAAGCTGGTCCTAGTGGCATTAAAAGAAGAAGGGAAGTAACCCTGGAAAAGGACTTGCTACATCAAGTCCTAATGGAAGGGGATTCCCCTTCTAAACACTAACACCTCTCCCCTCCTTCCATCCCATCAATCATCACCAGATCTTCATTAAAGGTAAGTGTCAATTATTTTATTGTTATTGTAATTATTCTATTGCATTAAACTTAATATTTCATGTAGTAAAATTTTTTTTTTCATACTTTTGGATGTCTTGCACGGATTAATTTGATTTTCATTATTTCTTATGAGGAAAATTGATTCGGTTTTCGATATTATCGGTATTCGATGAGCTCTCAGGAACGGATTAATATCGAATACCGGGAGTCCACTGTACATTATGCATTATATTGGTCTCATATGCCACAAAAGTTACTTGAAAAAATAAAATATTAGAAAAGAAAAGAAAATAATAGAATGAAAGTAAAAATAATATTACCGAGTGAGTGGCAGTCGCCAATGTTGCTGTAAGTGGTCCACTTTCTGTCAACTTCATGCCTCTATATCTCGGTAAGTACTGATCGCAAATATTTTTTTCTTTTAAAACAATCAGAAAAATATTCTTAAGAAGAAATAATTTTTTTTTCAAATATTTTTCGACACTGAGCAAGTTTGTGATCAGAAGTCTCGACAGTGAAAAGGTTAACCCTTTCACTGTACAGACCCCCAAAATTAATATTTCTTTCAGTGTCAACATTTATATAAAAAAAAAAATTCTTCTGGAATGGTAGAGAATCTCTGAAGGTAATGACACCAAGAGTAAAAAAATTTGTTGGAAAACTTATGGAATTACATAAGAACATAAGAAAGAAGGAACACTACAACAGGCCTACTGACCCATGCGGAGCAGGTCCATGAATCCCCCCCCCTCCCCCCGATTAGACCAATGACCCACCCCCTAGATTAGACCAATGACCCACCCTGTCTGGTCATCCCCACTCAAGGATGGAGCACTGTACCAGACCCAGCAGCACATGCTAGTCAGGTCCAACTCACACCCACCCACACCTACTCATGTATTTATCTAACCTATTTTTAAAACTACACAACGTTTTAGCCTCAATAACTGTACTCGGGAGCTTGTTCCACTCATCCACAACTCTATTACCAAACCAGTGCTTTCCTATATCCTTCCTGAATCTGAATTTCTCCAACTTGAAACCATTGCTGCGAGTCCTGTCTTGGCTGGAAATTTTCAGCACACTATTTACATCCCCTTTATTTATTCCTGTTTTCCATTTATACACCTCGATCATATCCCCCCTAATTCTACACCTTTTGAGAGAGTGCAGATTCAGTTAATGATCTGTGCACAATTTGTGCCTTAGTAATTTTGCTCATTTTGAGTCCTATTATAACCTAATTCCAGTCCTCCATTTGACTAAATTCTTAGCAGTTTCACTCGTATGCCTTCCATTCTGTCAGTTCAGCATAAGAAACCGCCCATTCTGCTGTTAGAACTACAGTCGGATTAATATGGTAGTTAGGTTTCTGACAACGCAGTGTTAGACAAAACTGTATTAAGGAAACTGAAGACCTTATGGGAAAAACAGGGTTATATTGTTCATTGTCGTCATGTATTATGTTTAATGCGTTGCTTAAGGCAATAAATGTAATAGAAATAATATTTCTTACCTTATATTGTGGTTGCTAATATAATATGTCAGTGATTCTGAACAAAGTGGAGAAGGATGCTGTGTCCTTACTGCACTGAGGTGGAAGGTTGTGGATTGTTTAGTAAGTTTATTCAGGTACAGGTACACATAAATAGATAAATTATCATACAGAATGGAATATTTTGAAAGAAGACATCTTAACAAAATCCTTCCTAATAGAGCTAAGTGGTACAGATATGTTGATGTTTTATGTATAATGCCCAAGAATGTAGATATGAGCTTTTTTTTTTTTCAACAAGTTGGCCATCTCCCACCGAGGCAGGGTTTTTTTCAACAAGTTGGCCATCTCCCACCGAGGCAGGGTGACCTAAAAAAGAAAGAAAATCCCCAAAAAGAAAATACTTTCATCATCATTCAACACTTTCACCTCACTCACACATAATCACTGTTTTTGCAGAGGTTCTCAGAACACAACAGTTTAGAAGCATATACGTATAAAGATACACAACATATCCCTCCAAACTGCTAATATCCCAAAACCCCTCCTTTAGAGTGCAGGCATTGTACTTCCCATTTCCAGGACTCAAGTCCAGCTAAATAAAAATATCCAGTTTCCCTGAATCCCTTCACTAAATATTACCCTGCTCACACTCCAACAGATCGTCAGGTCCCAAATACCATTCATCTCCATTCACTCTATTTCCTTGTTAAATTAAATAGTCTAGCTCATTCCATAAATTTTACTGTTGAGTTTGAACAAAATAACTCATTGCTTTTTCTAAACATATTAATTATTAACCCTTTGAGGGTCGACAGGCCCTCTCCGAAACTCGTTCTCAGGGTCGGCCAAATTTAAAAAAAAAAAAAAAATTATTTTCTCTTATGAAAAGATAGAGAATCTTTTCCCGATCATAAAGACACCAAAAGTTTGAAATTTGATAGAAAACTTACGGAATTATGCTCTCGCAAAGTTAGCAGTCTCGGCGATGTTTACGCATCGGCGATTTTGCCCACTTTGAGCCCCATTTTCGGCCAATTTCACTGTACTAGTCGACAAAAAACATGAATATTTCGCTAGAACTCCATTTTTTCTATCGAATGGGTGCAAGAAACCACTCATTTATGAAATTCAACTATCCAGTACAGTGGTCAGAATTTAGCAATTTTGCCAATTTCACACAAATTTCAAAAGATGCCAATTTCCGAATAGGGTCCAGAATAAACAAGAAAGACATTCCTGGCACTAAAATGACATTTCCTCTGGTCATTAGTCACGTCTCAAGGCCCCTCTTATATTCTTTTGCTTTCCACTTTGAATTTTTATTATCACAAAAAATAGAAGATTTACTGTTATGCAGACTATTGCATTAGTGTAAGAAATGGTATAAATATTAT